GCCGATTAACTGAAAAAGGCCACCATTTCGATTATTATTTATGAATTTTTTTTGTAAAAGTATTTTCTCATTATTTTTGGTTCGGTTGAATTGTTGGGTCGGACGAATTTCACCAGGGAACCATTTCGCGACAGAAGTACACCGTAATTTTTGAAAGTTATGAAAGCAACAATCGGTTTTACTTCCATGACAAATTTTATTCCAATTAGTTGTATTGAATGACTATTAGGATGCGATTGCTTCGTAAAAGAATCATATGGAGAGAAAGAGGTATTGGTTCTCATTCATTGTCAATTTCACTTGTATCGTGGAATTCTCCTTCTTCTAACCAATTCTCGCTGCTTAAGCGAACTCCCACCAGTCGTTCCGATCCCATACAGAGACCGCTCCATGTTTCATTAGTCGCTCTTGATCGCATTCAGTGCCTTTTCCCTTTCCCTCTATAAAACCACTTATCATAAAGCTTATCATGCAAGGAGATATATTTAATCGTTTTCTACTTAACAAGTTAAAAATTAGATTTTGATTGTGTTCGATGAATTTCGTTATTGATTTGTCAGTGGGATTTTGCGAAATGGGAGCTGATTTTGTGGAACATGGATCAAAATAAATCCGGCATCCCTCTTCCTTATTTTTTGATTTCAAGAAAAGTTCTAATAAGGGCTCGAATAATGCTGCTTAGTAAATACCATGCAAATACCACAATTTTTTTAAAAACATTTGTTCGAAGGATTTTTTTATTATAATGAATAATATTTTGAAAAATGATTTAATTCACATTATCACTGATCACTGATACAGTTATCACTGATACTGGCTACACACAATAACCACAAGTTCTCGCGCACTGTTGCATCATTGTTGTTCGAAATACACCGCCACAGCTATTTGCAGCTCTAATTGCTGCACAATGCTGTCTTTCATCTCTGCATGTCGCCGCTGAAGATGGTAAAGTCGTTGCTGAAACATATAAAATATTTATGGCCTCCTGTTTTCCAATTCGTTCCTATCATTTTGAATTTTTTTAAAAAAATTATTAGGAATTACTTGCTAAACAGTCGAGCGACCCGCACGTTCTTTGGCACATATTTTTCAAATTGTTGTGAAAACAAATGCCCAATCGCACCAAAACATCACAACCGTCGATGGTATCACATATTTGCAGCACCAGGTAAATGACAAAGGCCGCAAGTCTGTGGGCAAAGTCGTAATGCAAGACTTGGGAATTGAGTGCACATTGCCCTTGAAAAATGTCTGCATGCACCGTTCCGACCTCCAACTGAAATTGAGATTAATGGAGGACTCAGCACAAATCTTCCTCTTTTCCTCGTCATTATACAATCAGCATTACTCAGATGGCAATTGTTTTCTTGTTTCATAATATGAAAATATAAAAAGCGGATTTGCGCAAATTGAGTTGCATAATGCTTTGAGCGAAACTCTAATTAAAATTGGATTGAATTAGTTTTTAAATTTTGATGAACTATTTGATGGATTGAAGCGAAATAAAAGGAAATTTTTAAAAAATGTATTTTTAATAGAAATTGAGATTAATGGAGGACTCAGCACAAATCTTCCTCTTTTCCTCGTTATTATACAATCAGCAGCATTCCTCAGATGGCAACTGTTTTCTTGTTTCATAATATAAAAATATAAAAAGGGGATTTGCGCAAATTGAGTTGCATAATGCTTTGAGCGAAACTCTAATTAAAATTGGATTGAATTAGTTTTTAAATTTTGATGAACTATTTGATGGATTGAAGCGAAATAAAAGGAAATTTTTAAAAAATGTATTTTTAATAAGTATAAATTTATTAGACTATTTTACATAAGTTTATATAAATATTAAATTAATAGATATTATCAAATATTTTAAAATAATAAATTTATTGAAACTTTACCATTTTCACAATTATATTCCTTAGTCATGCAACAAGTCGCGCACATCCATGGGCACATTTGTCGAGCTAACATTATATAGGGCTCCTGCTGACATTTGTCTAGGACCTGATAATTCTGATTACTGCAATTAATTAAAAGTTTATAAAATTCTGTTCCATTTCTTCATATTTTTGGCTATGGTTGGAAATTTTTTAATGAAAATGTTAAAGTAATAGACCGGTTGAAAATTAAGAATTAAATTAAGAATTAACTTAAACTCCATTTTTATTTTCGCAATGCAATAAAAAGTTGCCTATCTGCCGTAAAATTAAGAGGATTAGTTTATTTGACGTGAGAGAAATTCTTTCATTTCTAATCGAATTTTAGAAAAAATAAAAGCGCTAAAAAAGTGCAAAAATATCAAGAAATTTTTAAATGAGGAGAGCTTTAGTAACATTTTTCAACAAATATATGTTTCCATAGTTAAAATTCAGCAAATTTTTCGTTGGTTATTCTATTGATAATAATGATTTAAAATATTGCAGATGGATTTTTATAAAGAGATATATTCGTTTCGAATGCGAAATAAAAATATTAAAATAGAAGAAAATTAAAATTTAATTGATCAAGAACTCACGCCATACGATTTTGCGCCAGCACATTGTCGTCCTCGGGCTTAAATATTGCGAAACAAGCTGCCGCATCACGATCTTGGCAGTACTCGACAGGCACCGAAGGCCTCACTATAGCATTATTTGCCCCACGTACAGGCACAAAGCAAATGTTTATGGGGACATCATCGCCGTTTGATAAATAGCATAATGATGTAAGCATAAACAATGAACCGAGCATGCTTACCGTATATTATTGTATATTATTTCCGGTGTTCTATTTTTATAGTCAATTTTTATTTGTTTTCCATAATCCAGTAAATATTTTCACTCTTCCACATGAACTTGTCAGCTGACCAAACGAAGTTAAAAAAAAATTTTCGACGTATATTCAGTTAAAATCAATTGTTATGCAATTAAAAACGATAACAGTTTTCCTTTTTTTTGAACAATTCTTCCTAAAAACGTAAATTTTTAATTTGCAGCTTACGGTGTTTTTCTCTTAAGGAAAAAGATTTCGAAGAGTGAAATTAGATGAGTGAGTAATAAAAAATAATAAAATGAGTATTAAAAATTAGAAATTGCGATCTGAGATCGGAAAATATCATTGTTATCAAAATTTTAAATTTATTGTTCTTTCCAATTTTCATGAACATTTTCTCTTGATTTGCAGCATTTAATGCCATATTATGCATTCTTAAAATATTTTTGTTAAATAATTCGTGTTTAGAGTTTAGGCAATGATACAACAGCAGAAATGGTCACATTTATCATTAACATACCAAATGATAATGATAAATATGTATGCAGTATTGATAGCACCATTGAAAAGCTTTATTTTTTGAATTTGTTTATTTGTATAAATGGAAACATTCATAAGGGCAGTTGAGAAAATAAAAATAGGGAATATGAATGCATTTGTTCATATAATATGAACTTGATCCGTTTAATCAAAATATAGGTCGTGTTGAATCTATTATAAAATTTTCCTGGACTAGGATTCGGTTCTATTTCCGCGTCATTAATGAAGCGAAATTAAAATGAAACTGGCGATGTTGGGAGCTACTTGCATTTCTATCCTCGAATGACTCGGCCCAGCTGTAAAAGGCGAAACTATTGAAAAGACCATGAAGAAACACTTCAAAAGAAGAAAAAAACCGGAATTTGTTGAACTCCGCTTCATTAATATTATTATTGTATTATTTATTTATTAATATCATTAATATTTAATTATTATTGTTATTGTTCCATGAATTCAGAAAGGATTTCGTCTCTTTTCAGCGTTCTTTTGTAAGGCTTACTGAAATCAAAAACTGGATGTCAACTTTTTGAAACATTACAGAAATTCATTTTATTCCATATTTGCTTGGTTGTACCTTTTTTACTTTGGTGACAACTTGAGGAAGAAAATTTTAAGTTCGAAAAGAAATAAATGTTCAATAGCGATTTAAAGGTTATGCTAGCTTGAACTTCAAGCTAGAATATTATTTATATNTTTTTATTGCACTATTCACTACGAAATTTCACTATTTACATGTTTTTTATTTTTTTATTCATTTTTATCATTAATTTTTAAAGAAAAACAGTCGATTTGATTTTTTCAATTTAATAGTTTTCTTAAGGAATTGCAGAAATAAATTAAATATAAAAAAATAAAGCATAATAATTCTTTTCAAAAATTGAGGAAAAGTTTACGCTTTCGAGATTAATTTCATTTAAAAAATAGAAAAACTTTTTAATGGATAATCGAAATCATATTTAAATGCATATCAATTTAATTTAATTAACTAAAAAGCCAAAAATTTTTCAAAAATCATATTTGAGCACCTGGAGATTTAAGGTGGAGGAAGTGATAAAGTGATAAAGGAATGAGTTTTTGTGAGTGACTTTTTTTTGATTGGAATATGAAAAACAAATAAAAATTAGCTATTAAATGCCGAATATATCGGAAACAAATCATTTGGCTGGTGACAAATGCTCATATCTTTGCTTATCCTTGCAAAGTTGTATACTTTCGCTGACGGAACAGCTGTCGATTTAAACGTTTGTTTTATGTTTATACCTGGACCTGCGGGAGATCCTGTACGAAGACCTACAGTCGAAAATTGCCAAGATCGTGGCCCCACAGCTTGTTTCGAAATATTCAAACCAGACGATAATAATCTTGGGCAGGTATTAGCTGATAATCGTATGCCGTAAGTTTCTGGGCTTTTAAATTTGCACTTCGATACGCATATATCATTAAACTTATGAATCCATATGTGATTAACCATTGCCTTAAATAGATCACCGAATCACTGAACAAAATCATTGAACAATTGATTGGATTTAAAATTATAATTGATGACAAGGAAAATTTGAAATCTATTTATAGCACTATATCATTAAAAAAATTTTGGAATTTCTCAAGTTTTTTTTTTTATTTTTGCTTTTTGTGCTTAAAAATTTCTAGCAAATTATTATTTTGAAATTTCCATAACAAATGAGAAATTAATAATGAACTTCAAACACTTAAAATAAACCAATTCACCGAAAATCATTCATTTCTTGTAAGGAAATTCGATGATTACAAAAAAAATGAAAAATCGCTGGGTTTAATCTTTAGGAAATTCATAATTATTGAAAACTTTCCTTAAGAAATTTCAAAAAACAAACCACAATCATTTAAAAAAAAGGAAAGGGATATTAAATTAAATTACTGTTCTGTTGCAGAAACATGGATTATAAAGTTCGTGACACTTGTCAGCAGCATGCATATAGAATGTTGGCTCGACAAATGTGCCCACAAACGTGTGCGACCTGCTGCTTGACTAAAGAATATAACTGCGAAAATGGTAGGAACGAAGAAATTTTTATTGACCTAATTTATAATTAAATAACTAGCTTTATAGGAGTTTATAGGAGTGCATAATAGGAGTTTTAACGTTTGCCTTTGCACTTTCTCGCATTTCGCAAATTAGTTTATTTTTGAAAGCTGTTAAAACTGAAATTCTATTTTAGTTGGAGGCAGAGATGGTGCATGCAAAAATTTTTCAAGGGCAATGTGCAGTCAATTCCCTAGCCTTGCATTACGACTTTGTCCACAGACTTGTGGACTTTGTCATTTACCTGGTGCTGCAAATATGTGCCCCGATACTATCGATGGCTGTGATGTTTTGGTAGGATTGGGCATTTGTTTTGACAACAGATTGAAAAATATGTGCCAGAGGACTTGCGGATCGCGCGACTGCCTAACAAGTAGTTTCAGATAATTTTAAAAATATTCTACAAGATTCAAATGCAAAATTAGAAATTCCTTTGGTTCCTTTGGTTGTGAACATTTTTTGTGTTTCAGCAACAACTTTATTTCCTCCAGCAGCAACTTGCAGAGACGAAAGGCAGAACTGTGCCGCAATTAGAGCTGCACATAGCTGTGGCGGCGTGTTTCGAACAACAATGATGCAACAGTGTGCAAGAACGTGCGGTTATTGCACGTAATCTGTGCAATTATATTTATATCATAACAATGGATTAAACTTTCTCGTTCATAAAAAAATTTACTGAAACATTGAAATAGTTTTGGGCAAATATTGGCAGTATTTATATTAGCAAAAAACAATAGTTTATTCGAATCTTTCTTTAAAATCTCTCTCTCTCTCTCCTTTCTTTAAAATCTACCAAAATCGTTTTAGATAAGCAAATTTTTTTTTGCATTTTTTTCTTTATCGCAGTTGAAATTAAAGGAAAGCAATTTTGTAATTACAGTGCTTGAAAAAGAACAAAAACGTATTACTCTGTTTTTTTAACAAATTCAATAAATTAATTATATTTATAAAATTTATAAAATTTTAAAGTAAATGCTTGAAAATGCTTCGAAACTTATAAATTCGTTTCCGATCGTTTATTCACTAAATTTTCCTTAGTAGTTTGGACGGCAAATTCATTAAGAAGCATTTCACTTAGTGACAATTTACTGCATTTTTGAATCTTTTTTAAGGATTATCAGAAGAATCATCTCTTTCTTGATTTGACACTTTTTTGGTTAGGCAGATTTAGTAGAAATAGCATTAATGCTAGCATTCAATTGATATATATATACATTCGACCAAAAAAAAAACATTTTGTCATGCAACTCGAAGAATTTTGAATGTATAAATAACGTGGAGTGAATTCTGAGGCCTTCATAATGCTACTCTAATTTGTTTGAGTCCACCGAGCTCAGTTGGAATTGGAATAATTAGGACGATATCAGTAAGAACGATAATGATAATTTAATAATTTTTATATTCTTCTATATTTATTATATTCTTCATAATTTTTTATATTCTTCTTGTTTCTGCTTCCCAACTGAGGCGAAAGCAGAAGTGGGCCTTAATTCAACGCATTAATATTATCTCACCTCTATTTCAATAATTAATTAGAAAATAATCGCGAAAACTTTGCAATCTAGTGATTTTATATATAATTAAAACTGATGATGCTTGCGACTCACCTGTATTTCTATCGCCAAAGGACTCCCTGGCATATTTATCCAAAGCAGCAAGCCAATGGAGCGAGTTTAACCAGTAATGGTGAGGACTCTTTAAAAAAAAATTATAATTTAGCACAAACAGCACTTTTCCTTTAAGGATCAAACATATCAATAAATCCGTGCATTTTTCATATGAATGCTTTCGGTAGGAATGTTTTTCCGGCAGTAAAATGCTCGACTAGATAGAAAAACAATTCCTCTCCACCAATAGAACTTTTTTATTGATACTAATTCAAATTAATGGACAAATGACGCAATTATATGAGAATGGCTAAAAAATAGACGGAAATCCACGTTTTTGTATTTTAAAATGTATTTGTTTATATTGCAGACAATAATAATTGATTTTAGTACAGAAGCAATGGTATTCTTTGATCACTGAGAGGAAGTTTATATTACGTAAAAATGCGAAGACGGCAACAATATATAAAAGAATAAGATAATTTAAATAAAAAATGAGAAAAAATGCGAGAAGGAAAATATAATTTCCCGGAAATTAAGACCTCGCGACTCAAAACATATTAGCGATGCCATCCTATAAACTTACCTATTCTTTTTCTCCAAAACCCATATCCTATTTGTTATGTGAGATTATCATTTGGCAGGGAAATTTTCTTGCCTATTGTTGTGAAAAAGCAAGGATTTGTTCAATATTCCGTTCTGACCAAAAAATTCCTGAAATTTCTGAATGTCACCTTTTCATAATCTTGTTGATTTAGATGAAAATGAGACTCTTCATGTGCTAAAGTCAAATTCGCCTTCCCATAGCTCCATTGCAAATGAAATATGAGATTAATTACAATAAATTTTTGCTATCATCCGTTATTTAGAAGTATCCAAAATCATGGAGCAATGAAATTATCAGTTTCTTAATGATGCCATAATATTTGCTATATTCGTTGATAACGTTGATGGTTGATAATTTGTGACCCACATTCGTTATCAATTAAATCTTTATGATATTAGCGGTTTGATAAAATCGCCTTTTACATTCAAAAAATCAAAAAAAATAGCTACTATTAAAATTTTACTCTAATACAAATGTACCATTGTAAGCTTCGAGTGAATAATATTGATTGACTAATATTGAAAATAATGAAAATAATGAAAATAAAAATTTTAAATGAAAATAATTCATTCAAATATAGAAATAGCGATACTCTTCGAAAGATATTTTCCTTTTTCTTATTAAAACAACTGATTTCTTTTTCCCTAAAGGATTGTTGAAAATTGGAATAAAGCACAATAATAAAAATAATGAAAAAATTGAAGAACGGGAAATTTGATCAACGCATAATAAATATCGTTATGAGCAGCTGGTGATTTCAAGCGAAAGAGTGATCAAATATTTTGGTGAATTACGAATAGGACAAATAAATAAAAGTTGGCTATAAAAAACCGAATTCATAGATATGAGAAAATTTTGGCTGATGAGAATGCTCGCATGTTTGCTTGTCCTTGCATCATTATGTAACCTAGCTAATGGAGGTGCTGTGGAGATAGATGTTTGCCATATGTTTGTTCCTGTACCTCCACAAGGTGCAGGCGTACCT